ACTTCGGCACACCCCTCACACGTTTCGTGGCCCCATAGGGAGCCTAAAAGACGCGTCGAAGAACCTGGTTGCAAAGGTTTTTCCTGCTCCAGATGGCTCCAAGACGGCCCAAGATGATCTCCAAGATGCATCCAAGACGGTCAAGATGGCCTCCAAGACGGCTAAGATGGCCCCCATATGCCTCCAAGACGCCTCAAGATGCACCCAAGACGGCCTAAGATGGCCTCAAGCTGGCCCAAGACGGCCCAACAGGCCCCGAAGAGGCCTCCAAGACGGCCCACGAGGCCTCCAAGAGGTCCTCCAGGAAGGCCCGAAGAGGCGAAAATCATTAATTTGCCTTAGGTTGTTGAAGGATGTTGGCATTTGCACCTTTTCGGCTTTCCAATAGCCCAAGACTGCCCAAGAGGCCCCCAAGGTCGCCCAAAGATCGCCCAAGAGGCCTCCAAGATGGCCCTCTGACGGCCCAAGCGGCCCCTCAAGACGGCCCCAAGAGGGCCCAAGAGGCCTCGAAGACGCCCGAGATGGCCTCTTAGACGGCCCTGGAGCACCCCAAGAGGGCCCCAAGTCGGCCCAGAAAGGCCCCCCAAACGGCTTCCGACGGCGTCAGACGGGCCAGGAGCCCACCAAGATGGCCGAATGTGGCTCGCAGCTGGCCCAAGACGGCCCAAGAGGCCTCCAAGAGGGCCTCCAGGAAGGCCAGAGAAGGCCTAAAAGAGTGATGTTCATTTGCTTTGTTTCGGCCCGATACGGTCCAAGAGCCCCCAAAGATCGCCCAAGGATCGCCCAAGAGGCCTCCAAGACGGCCCCAAGAGGCCCCAAGACGGCCGAAGAGGCCTCCAAGACGCTCAAGATGGCCTCCAAGACGGCCCACGAGCCCTCCAAGACGTCCTCCAAGAAGGCCCGAAAAGATCAAAACAGCCTCCAGGCGGCCAAGATGACCTTCAAGATGCCCACGTGTTTCCCGAAGGCTTTCCAAACCGATTCGGGGAACACATGGTCCGATAGCTTGGCAGGTCTGGCCTCAACGTTCGGCCACATAGACGCTTCCAAAAAAGCAGGGGGCGTCGGTGATTCGCCGTAGGCGTCTTCGATACGCCGCCCCCTGTTGATTCATCAAAGGGGTGCATGGCGTGTTAGACCCTCTCGGTTTTGGTTTTGGTTCTTTTTCCAAAGAACTCCCCCTGGGGGCTTCGGCCCGTCCCGCCGGCCACCCGGAAAGGCGCTCAAAACGCATCCGTCGTGTCTCTGTTTCCTCCAGTTGGCCCAAGATGGCGTGCAAGACGGCCAACATGGCCCAGGATGGTCTCCAAGACGTCTCCAAGACGGCCCAAGATGGCCTCCAAGACGGCTAAGATGGCCCCAAGATGCCTCCAAGACGGCCCAAGATGTACCCAAGACGGCCTCAGATAGCCTCAGGATGGCCTCCACATGGTCCTAGACGGCCCAAGAGGCCTTCAATACGGCCCAAAAGGCCGCCAAGAGGTCCATCAAGAAGGCCCGAAGAGGGCAAAATCATAGACCTCTTTGGTTTTTGAAGGATTTTGGAATTTGTCTCTTTTCGACATTTCGACGGCTCAAGACGGCCCAAGAGGCCCCCAAGATCGCCCAAGAGGCCCCCAAAAGGGCCCCATGACGGCCCAAGAGGCCTCCAAGACGGCCCCAAGAGGGCCCCAAGACGGCCTAAGATGGCCTCCAACACGCCCAAGATGGCCTCCAAGACGCCCAAAATGGCCTCCAAGACGGCCCCGAAGCGCCCCAAGAGGGCCCCAAGTCGGCCCAGAAAGGCCCCCAAGACGGCTCCCGACGGCGTCAGACGTGCCAGGAACCCACCAAGATGGCCAAAGATGGCTCGAAGCTGGCCCAAGACGGCCCAAGAGCCCCCGAAGATCGCAGAAAGATCGCCCAAGAGGCCCAAGATGGCCCCAGAACGGCCCAAGAGGGCCCCAAGACGGCCCCAAGAGGCCCCCAAGACGGCACAGGAGGCCTTTAAGACGCCCAAGATGGGCCTCCAAGACGGCCCTGGAGCATTCCAAGAGGGCCCCAAGTCGGCCCATAGAGGCCCCCCAAACGGCTTCCGACAGCGTCAGACGGGCCAGGAGCCCACCAAGATGGCCGAACATGGCCCTAAGATGGCCATAGACGGCCCAAGAGGCCTCCAAGAGGGCCTCCAGGAATGCCCGAAAATGCCAAAATCATTGACTTCCCATGGTTTTTGATTTGCTTTTTTTCTGCCTTCCGACGGCCCGAGACGGCCCAAGAAACCCCCAAAGATCGCCCAAGAGGCCCAAGACACGGCCCCAAGAGGCCCCCAAGACGGCCCAAGAGGTCTCCAAGACGCTCAAGATGGCCTCCAAGACGGCCCAAGAGCCCTCCAAGACGTCTTCTAAGAAGGCCCGAAAGAGTCAAAATGGCCTCCAGGCGGCCAAGATGTCCTTCAAGATGCCCACGTGTTTCCCGAAGGCTTTCCAAACCGATTCGGGGAACACATGGTCCGATAGCTTGGCAGGTCTGGCCTCAACGTTCGGCCACATAGGCGCTTCCAAAGAGGCAGGGGGCGGCGGTGATTCGCCGTAGGCGTCGTCGATTCTTGAAAAACCTTCAGGCCCCCCCCCGCAAGGACAGCTGGCATGCGCGCTGCGTCACGATTCGCGATGCTGCGCGCCACTTCACCAAACTCCTGGAGAGCGGCGGGTGATGTGCCGCCGGCGTCATCGATACCATCCCACAGGTGGACCTTGTCTGCAAGGAACCCCGGATGCCATTCAGGTCAAAACTCGAAAGTGTAAAACAATCTAGCACGATTTAGCATGGCGAGGGGCCCAACCCTCTCCTCATAGAGTGCTCGCTGCGAGGGAGATGGAGTTCGGGGGAAGCTGGGAATTTGGAGAAATGGGATAAATGTGCGTGAGCTCCGTGTTGGGCCACGATCCGCGTGACGGGTGTGCCAGCCCGCATGCGGACGGGCACACTGAGAGTTAGGCGGACATTCAGATGGTGGCACGATCCTCGTGACGGGTGTGCCGAGATGGACACGTGCCCGCATGCGGGCTGGCCAACTGGGACCGTAGGTGAAGCTCCCGAAGGGGCTTCCGAGAGTGCAGGCTCGCATGCGGACGGACCCACTGAAACAGTAGGTTGATCCCCCTGCAAGGCCACTATCCTCATCAGGGGTGTGCCGAAATTGGCGCGGGTACGCTATGCGGACTTCCTCACTACCGCAGAGGAATCTGCCCAGTGGGGCAAGAGCATAGTGAGGGGTGTGCAAGAATGGGCGCGAGTGCAATGTGCGGACTTTCCCATAGGGAAAGGGGTGTGCCGAAAACTGGCGCACGCCCGCATGCGGACTGGCCCGCTGAGACCGTAGGTGGACCTCCCATGGGGGCACGATCCTCGTGAGGAGTGCGCCGAACTGGGCGCGGGCCCGCAAGCGGACGGGCCCACTGAGCATGTAGGAGGAGCCCCCGTTGGGGCCGCCATCCTCGTGAGGGGTGTACCTAAATCGGCACGGGTGCGCCAAACCATGCGGACTTTCCATATGGGGCCGCAGGTGAAGCTCCCCCTGGGGCCACGATCCTCGTGAATGGGGCCGCGACCCTGAAGAGGGCTGTGCCGAAGTGGACATGGGTACGACATGCGGACTTCGCCTACGGTGGCACGATGTTCTTGAGGGGTATACCGAAATGGGCGTGGGTGCGCCATGCGTACTTTCCAACTGGGGCCGCAGGAAGAACACCCTGTGGGGGGACGAAACGTGTGAAGGGTGTGCAGACATGGACACGCGGAGAGCAGACGCAGGGAGCGGGAGAGTAGGAGGAGAAAGAGAAGGGGGAGGAGGAGGAGGAGGAGGACGAGGAGGAGGAGGACGAGACGCGAGGTGTAGCAGAATCAACACGAGGACCCGCCCGCCTCTACATGAAGTGCAAAAACAGCTCCATGAGGCACGTATCGCCCAATGCTCTGAACCACACAAGGAACACCATAAAGATGCCCACCCGTGATCGAACAGTTGTTTAGCAGCGTAGTAATGTGTCATGCTCCTGAGGTTTACACATATCCTTACAAGCATGCAAATCTATGTTTCCAACAAGGCTTTCATCCCCGAACGCTTCACCCGTGTGCTGCACTGTCACCAGAAGCATGGGCCAAGCCTTGAGTGCATCCATGTAGTGCAGAGGCTTCCTGATCGGTTCTGTGCAGCTTGCACGTTGGCCTCGACGCTCATGAGGCCCACGGGGCGCAGCAGACGCTTCAATTGGCTGCGTCCGTCCCAGTTGGCTGCACGAATCAGCTGCATGCCGCTGGCTTCCTGGCGCCTCGAGGCCCTGGGAGCGACGATGCATCGAAAGGTGTGCCTACTGGCGAGGCTGGAATCAGCTGCGGCACATTTCGTAATCCTCCTCTTCCCGCACCCCTTCTTTACTGAGTGAACGGCGCGCAGGCACCACACGTGTCCTTGCCGGGTCGCCCACGCGTCGCCCTGGGTTCTTAGACACGCCTGCTCGCCCGCTCGTCCGCACCGAAAGAGACAAGCTCCACGAAGGGTGGCGGACGCGCAGCGGCCAACTCGGAAAAACCATCAGGAGAAACGCCATGGCGGTACAGAAATCGGCGAGAGCGAGCCGCCCCGAAACAGTCCTCTCGCACGTGTTCAACGTAGCCTGGCGCGCATACGTACACTGCGCTGGCGATCGCAGGCGCGCAACAAGAATTGCCAGCGCGGTCAAACGGGTGGCGCGATGGAGCGGCATTCTAACAAGGCAGGGGGCTTCTGGCAAGCCTTCCCGTCTTCTACGACGCCTTCTCCTTCCATTGAGCGTTTCCGAGGGCCCCCAACTTTCTTCCAAGGCCCCCCTTCGCGCCACACCCATTTGGGCGCCGCTGAAACCGAGGACGCCGCCCTGGCGGTAGTGGCCGCGGCGACAGGGAGGCGCGGTGCGTGCCGAACGACGCACAAGGCCGCGGACCGGCCGCGGCAGAGAGCGAGCGCCGAGGGCTGGCGCCATCATTGGGTACGCCTGGGGCGTCTGCGCCGCGTCGAGAGGCTTGTACGGGACCCACTTGGAGTGAGGCTGCCGCCTCTGGGGGGGCAGGCGCTGGCCGACGGGATGCCAAGGCGCTGGTCCGAGCGAGCGGGGTCAAGAACCTACGGGTGAGGGGGGAGGGGAGGAGACAGAGGAGGGCGGGGGCCGAAAGGGTTGGGAGGGAAGCAGGAGGAAGCCGAGGGGGAAAGGAAGGGGGGAGGGCGAGCCTCAGGCAAACCAACCGATTGGGCAAGTAGCAAGGATCCCTCGAGGCCAAAGTCAGCCGCCTGCCCGGGGCAGGCGTCGCCCCGCCGACCCGGCGGCTGAGTCGGCCCGCGGGCGGCCTGGGGGAAGAGGTGCTCGACGGGATCTTTTAGGAGGGGCTCGACAGGGTCTGGTCAGGGCGTGGGGCGGCGCCCCTGCCTTTTCTGCGGCCCTGCCCACCCCCGGCGGCTCGGCTGGACCTCCGAAGCATCCCCCCCTCACCCGAATCGTCCTGCCCACTACCCCTAGCTGCTCCTCCTCCCCCATCATGCCCAGGAGAGGAATACGTGCTTTGATCGCCGAATCCCCAGCCCGAAAGAATGACGGGGCCGTGGCCCAGAGCGCCCCCGAAGCAAATGCGGCCCCCCCCCGCCTTTCGATTGACATACATAATAACGTCCAGGTATTCACGCATACTTACAGAATTACAAACAGACAGACCGACCGACCGACTGACAGACCGACACACCGAACACCGACAGACAAACGGAGAGACAAACATACCGAAAGACAAACAGCCAGACAGACAGACACTCTCTCGGGCTCCCACGTCGCTGGGGCGACCCACAGCCACGCCTCGAGGGCGCGCCCCAGCCGCGCCTGGGAGACGAGGGCCATGACGCAGGCGAGTGCGCCGCTGCACGGGGCCGAAAGCGCAGGAAAAATTGGAAGGTGAAAGTGGGGGTCGGGCGCAGGGTCCCGGCAATGATGTTTTTTAAGGTCATGAATGGGCGATGCATCCTCGATTGCTGTGTTCGGCGGGGGAACTAATTGAAGCCCCCCGCCTGCACCCGCGCGCGAGACTTGAGGGGAAAGGAAGCAAGGGGGCGGGGGGCTCGGGAAAGGCGACGAAGGCAACGTGCGCTAAGGGCGCAACAAGAACAGGCTGGAACACACGAAAGCGGTCGGGTGAGTGTCGAAATCTGTCCAGCCAATCTGGCATGCGGAACACTGCGCCTCTGTTTTGGGGATCTTGAAGGCCAGGGCAAAATGTGAATTCACATTGTGGGGAAAAGCAAAATGTGAATTCACATTTTGGGAAAAAGGAAAATGTGAATTCACATTTTGGGAAAAAGGAAAATGTGAATTCACATTTTGGAATTTTGTGTAGGATTCTTTATGAAGGGGCCAGAATGTGAATTCACATTTTGGGAAAAAGGAAAATGTGAATTCACATTTTGGGAAAAAGGAAAATGTGAATTCACATTTTGGAAGAATCGCGGGGCCCATTCCAAATCTGTCTTGGGGGTCGAGAAGTCATCGTTTGGGAACATACGCGATCATCAACCGCACAATCAAGACACAGTTGCACTCCACTTGGCCGACCCACGCGCAATATGCAAGAACGCCCGCACGCATGAACGATAATGGATGGACGGCGCGTGCGCCCGCGCGGGCAACGCGCGGGCACGAATGACTGGCCACCAATGACCGCCAGCATTGGATGCCAATCGTACCCGATCACATACATGAACGATACATTGAGCATACATGGGCCATTCAGCCCCCATTGAAGACCCCCTGTTGCAGACCCCCTCTTTCACCCTCCAAAAAAAGAGAAAGGGGAAGAGCGAGGCTGCCGGGCAAAAGGCCCGCCGCGCCCCGTCGCGCTGCTCTGCGCCGCCAGGCAGGCCCGCCGCGCTCTGCGCCGCGCCGCCCGGCAAACCCCTCGGCGCTGGCTCGCGGGAAACCCGCCGCGTGCTGCGCCGCCTGGCAGCGCGCGCCCTGGCCAGCGGCCGTCGCGTAGCCCGCGCCGCCCCGAGCCTGCTCGCCAGCCCAGCGGCGAGGTGCCCGTGCTGGCTCGCCGCCTGCGCTGCAGCTTCTGGCGCTTTTGTGGTTCCCGCCGCGGCGCCCGCAGCGCGGCGGCTTCGGGCGTTGTCACCAGAAGCCCTCAGGCGCGCCAGCGCAAGCCCGCGGCGGCGCACGGGGCCGTCGTCTCTTGCGCCGCTGCGCGCCGCTCGCCGCTGGCGCCTCAGCGGAGGCCCGCCGAGGAGCGCAGCTGGTGCGCAAGTTCGCTTCTGCACCCCGCAGCTGAGCACCCGGTGGGCGCGGGCCAGCTCGCGCTGCTGGTCCTGCTCGTCCTGCCTCTTCACTTCGGCCTTCAGCCAGAGGCGGGCCTCTGCGCCTAGACTCCCTCCGACCTCCAAGACGAAAAGGGGCCAGGCGCTCGCCTGGGTAACGCGAGTGTTTGTCGCGTTCTCCCCTCCTGCTGGCCTCGCCAGCCTGACGAGCTGCCACGCGGACTTCGGCCTGTGTTCCCGCGGCCGGGTGCCAGACCGTGACGTCGAGCCAGCGCCGCCCGGCGTCGTCCTGGTACTCTAGGTCGAGCACCGTGCGCTCCGTTTCCGGCCAGGCGGCTGCCTGTCCCACTCAGGGGCGCGCTGTTCGAAGATACCGACATACCGACAGACCGATAGACCGACAGACCGACAAGCAAAACTACATGCATGCATGCACAGAGACATATACACATGCATGCATACAGACATATTCATATGCGTATACGTATACGTATACATATACACTAGAACCACGCGCACTTCGCGCGCGCTCAGGTTCTAGTCACTCCCGCGACCACGCTCAACACCGCCAATGCCGCCACGGCTACCACCGCCCTTTCCGCCATCACCGCGGTCACGACCACTTATGATTCCATGCCCATTCTGGGCATGACCACCCCATCCACAACGATTGCACTGTCCACGACCACTATAACGGCCATTGGTTCAACCTCTGCCTGTACCACCACCAATACCACTACCATTGCCACTGCCACTGCCGCGAATCCACGACCACTATCATTACCACCACGGCAAGTGCCACCGCCACGACCGTCCTAATCGTCGGTAGGACCAGTCGGCGCACGAACTGAAGCCAACTGCAGCCATCACCACCACGACCCCTCCAGGTCTCTCCTGGGGGCGTCCTCTGGGCCCCTTGGCGCTGTCTTGGGAGCCTTTTGGGGCTCTCTTGGAGCCCTCTTGGGCCGTCTTGGGGCTATGATGAAATGTCTTGGGGCCCTCTTGGGCCGTCTTGGAGCTCTCTTGGGCCCCTCTTGGGGGTCTGTTGGCCGAATTGGGGATCCCACTGCTTCTTCTCACATCCTTGTTATTCAGTGTTCACTTCTCTTCGCCTTTGCTCGTTTCCTCGCCCTTCCTCCCCTCGTCCTTCTGAACACTTTTCCTGCTCAGCCTTCCCTCTTCTTCCTCCTCGTCCGGATCTTTTCTGCATCTTCCCTTTTTCCCCCTGCTCCTCCTCCATTCCTCCTCTTCCTTCTCCCTCCCCCCCGCGTGGATCTCCGCTGAAGAAGCCTCCGGAAACTCTGGGAGGCCAGGTTCGTCTGGGGCGTTTGGGGGGCCTTTGGGGGCCTCCTTGGGATTTCTGGGGGCGGAGGGCTTGACATGTTCGTAGGGCACCCTCTCTGGGCCCCTGCTTGGGGCCGTCCTGGGCCCCTGTTGGGCCGTCTTGGGGACCTCTTGGGCTAGCCAGGGGCCCTTCTGGGCTGTCTTGGAACCCACTTGGGCTGTCTTGGGGCGATCCTGGCGGCCTCTCGGGCTGTCTTCGTTCCCCTGGAAGGGCAAGAGGCGAATCCCTGAAAAATGTACGGTTTCCGACGGGGACGGGGACATTTTTGCATCTTGGGGCCCTCTTGGGAGGGCTTTTGGGACCCTCTTGGGCTGTCTCGGGGGCTCCTGGGAGCCCTCTTGGAGCCATCGTCGGCGTCTTCAAGCTACATTTCGAGGCTCGTGCGCCCTCTTGATCTGTTTGGTGGCCTCCGGCGCCCTCGGGAGCCGTCCAAGGGGCGCCCCAGAGGCCCGGTACCCCCGTGCGCGCTCGAGGTCGCGGTCCCGAGCCCCCAGTCGTAGCTAGCCTTGATCGGCCAACTCATGTAATCTCATTTTGGTCGCTTCCTACGTCCAGGGGCTCCCTTGGAGGCCCTGCGCAAGCCTCGGAATCGTATAGAAGGGGAAGTACGGAAACGCAGAATTTATTAATTCGCCGGCCCAACGGGCCAGAGGCGTGCTGAGATCTCCGGTGACTGCTTTACAATCTTTCTACTTCGCGCGCGCGGGGCGGCCCCTGGGGGCCCCCGGGCGGAAAGTACCCCGGCAAGGTCCCGAGAGAGTCCCGGGAGGAGTCACCAGGGCGCTCCAGCAGCGCACCAACGCGGCTCCGAGACGTCCCCGAGAGCCCCAAGAAGGGCCAAGAGGCTTCCAAGAGGCCCCCAAGATGCTACATGAGGGGTCCGAGATGCCACAAGATCGCTCCAAGACGCCCACGATGGCCCCCAGACGCCCCAAGAGGCCTCCAAGAGCACTCCCGAGAGGGCCCCAAGAGGCAAAATTCACTGCTTTTCCTTAGGTTTTGGAGAGATTTTGGCGTTTCCACCTTTTCGGCTTCACGACACCCCAAGACGGCCCAAGAGGCCCCCAAGACCGCCCCAAGAGGGCCCAAGAGGCCCCCAAGAGGGCCCCAAGACGGCCCAAGAGGGCTCCAAGACGGCCCAAGAGGCCTCCAAGACGGCCCAAGAGGGCCCAAAGAACGCCCCAAGAGCGACCCCAGGGGGGGAACACGAAACAATATTTCGAGCCCTCGGCCCTCAGAAGTCCCCAGAAGGCCCCAAGAGGCCCCTAAGAGGCCCCAAGAGGCCCCCAACAGGCCCTCAGGAGGCCCCCAAGAGGCCCCCAAGCGGCCCCAGGAGGCCACCCAAATGCCCCCCCGAGCACGTAAGCAAGTGCCAGCGACGCTACACTATGGGCCGGCGGAATGAGCGAAGCGATTCAATTAATT